CCATCCTTCCCACGGGGCTAAGAAGGTCCGGAGGGATAGAGTGGAACCGACCGCAGGCGACAGGTATGGGAGCGGGTCCTCAGGTCCTGTGGGGATTAGGAGGCCCGGGGGTCGGGATGGAACCAACAGCGGGCCACCGTGGGAGCGGGGTGCGTGCCCCGTGGGCCTGAGGCGGTCCGCAGGCTGGAGTGGAGCTGACCGCAGGCGGCGGGCTGGGGCGCGGGATCCCGCGCTGAGCGCCCTCCTGGTGGCCCCGCAGGTGCGGCCCGGAGCCATGGTGATCATGTCGGAGTTCAGCGCGGCCCCGGCGGGCTCGGGCCAGAGCCAGCAGAAGCCACTCCGGGTGGGTTTTTACGACATCGAGCGGACCCTGGGTAAAGGCAATTTCGCAGTGGTGAAGCTGGCGCGGCATCGAGTCACCAAAACGCAGGTGCGTGGGAGCGGCGGGACCCGAGCGCGGCGAGGCCTCCCTCAGGGTGCAAGGCCGATGCTCAAGGAGTGGGCGACCTGACCCCAGGCGGGGGACCTCAGGTTGATTCAGTGCCTGCAGGGTTGATTGCTATAGTGGGCTCACGCTAACAGGTTTTAGTTTGGGTAAAGAAGGAAATTCTTTATAGTATGTTTCTGCATGTTGGGAGACAGCAAAGAAGATAATGACAAAAATAAAAAAAAATCTAGAAGTGCAGTGGTTCATGGATTCAGAGCTAAAGCCCTGTAACGTGAGTCTGCAGATATTTAAGATGCTTATTTAACTTTAATTATTTTACATAATATTAGTGACTACTTTGGTTATTTCCCCCCAATTTTTTCTGACGTTTTAGAGACATAAAGTGTTTGAAAAATTAACTTGCAAAAAAATGAAATGTGACAATTAAGTGGGGTTTTCTTTAAACAAAATATCCTTTTTCTTTTTAAAATCTGTAGGTTGCTATAAAAATAATTGATAAAACACGATTAGATTCAAGCAATTTGGAGAAAATATATCGTGAAGTTCAGCTCATGAAGCTTCTAAATCATCCTCATATCATAAAACTTTACCAGGTAAGAGCAAGGAGTTGCCTCTCTCCATAAATTCTGACAAACTTATTGTATTTTATTTGCAATAATATAAATCTACAATTTCTAACGGTTGCCCCCTTTTTGGGGATTTGTGTCAGAGTTGGGGAGTTACTGGTATATACTAAATAGGCTGGTTTTTATAAAGTCAGATGTGTTTACAATTATTTTCTTGTTTGGGGATCATAATTCAGATTTACTTCATTAAAATTGTACTTAGTTCCCTAAGTTGTTCTGGTTTTAAATGTGTACAGGTCTGTTGTTAACTGTGCTCTCTATGAAAACAAACCAGCACATCTATATATTGCCATAAGCACTTAGTACATCAGGATGAATTCGAGGGAAATTAGAAACTTCCACCTGTGCAGATAATGATTAAACTTTAAAGCCAGCTACTCATACCAGTTTTCATTAACTTATCTTTGCAAAGACAGTAGTGAACATTTTTCTTCCCTATTTAAGCTCTTCCATGAAAAATGGAGAGATGAAAATACTCTGCCATAGTAAGAACAAGGAACTTGTCATCTAATCCACGCTAGGAACATGCCTCACCCTGTCTGTCTGTTGGTTTATTTTGCAACTTTATTTTTGTTCTCATGTTGAAATTAATAAATTATTTTTTCGGGAAATAAGTCCTAATTTAAATAGAACACCCAGGCAGTCTCTTACTTACACCTCCCTAATGATAAATGACCACTTTTGCAAAGACAAAATGAAATCTTCCTATAGAAGAATAAATTCTTTGTAAGCGCTCAATATTTCATCCAATCATGAAATATTCCTCTGGACCCCACATAATTCTGAGGTGATTCTGGGTGTTGTATGTTTGTGCAGTTGGGATGGCTAGGTTTACAGTGTGGTAGGAGAGAGAATTATGATTTGAAATTATTCCCCCCAAAGTCTCTCAACTCAATTAAAATACAGGTAGTAGTATCGGTAGAGCTTGCCAGTTAACTCAGTACCTTTAAGCATAGAACTCAGGCTGTGCACAGTTTTCATGTTTTTTGTCTGTTGTCATTTTTAAGTTGTACACTGAGATAAGAAGTTTTCTCCTTGGCTGCTGATGTCACTGGTTGTGATACGTGCCCAACCCATTTCCTTAGGGGTGGGCTGAACTGGTTTTGTTTTTGCCTTTGCTAAAGGCTGAACCATAAAGTTAGAACCTTCCTTTTCTTCCTGTTCTTCCACTTTGCGCATTGTGTGGAGTTAAGGAAACATATTGCCCTTATGTTGGGTGCTGGAGATCTTTTCTGGAGGGACATTTTCCTGTTGCTGCTGTATGTGATGCTTTAGCTGTCTACAATTTCTAAAGGTTGCCCCCTTTTTGGGGATTTGTGTCAGAGTTAGGGAGTTACTGGTATATGGTAAATAGGCTGTCTACAAGACGTAGAATTCAGTGGTGTGGCCATGCTTTTTATTCCTCTCTAGTTTTCATTCAGCTGGCTAAGCCCCAAAACCCTTTGGAGACACTTCCCTCGTTCCCTTAGGCTTTTTAGTTCACACACACTGACTTAGTGCTTCTCCTTCTCCCTTTCTTTGCTTGGGGAAAGGGTGGGCAATAGTCTGCTCACAGCCAGGACACCACACCCATTCAGGGGTAGGGGAAATTCTAGACAAACTGCTAGAACTCAAAAAGCACTTTTCTTATTAGATTTACAGCTCAGGATATTTGTCTTTGAAGTGTCTGTTCTAAGGAATAATTTTATATTTTGGACCCAGATAAATCTTTTTCATAAGAATATATTGTTTCTCTCCCTACAAAATGTGTAGACATACACACAGAAATGAGTTATGTCTTGAGTCTCTTTTGAAGTCAGATGCTATTCTTGAGCATTGAGTGAACCTTAGGTTGTGGGGTATTGGCAGGTGCTGTTCTGTGCATGGGCAGTGAGCAGTGAGTACAGCCCACCTGGCAGAGAGGCCTCTGGCCGTGCATTCATTTCGTCAGTTCAGCAGTGAGAATGAGGCTTTGGTTTCTGTCATTCAGTCTGCTTGGGCCATTGGCATGAGTAATCTATTGTCTATAAGGCTTCTAGAAGGAAGTCAGCAGAAGTCAGCCTCTTTACATCTGCAATGCCCAGAGTCCTCAAAATGCACGTGAGGGGTCTCAGATGGGCTGATATTTATCAACAGAATTCTAACTTACTTAGGCCTTTTATGAGAACAAGGATGAATCAGGATAGGTAAGGACTCTACCTCTGATCTTTTAAAACTTTCTTTCTGAGTAGGAATCCCCTTTGTATTTTCTTTATTGCAAGAAGCTTCTTTTTTTATTTCCTTTTTAAAATGATGAATATACTTGTCCTGGAAAGGTTAAACTTTCTCCGGGGCTCTAGTGGATTATTGATACCATTGGCATGCTCCTGTCTTGTGTGGTTAAATGTTAGGTCTTTATTTCTTCAGGTTATGGAAACAAAGGACATGCTGTACATCGTCACCGAATTTGCAAAAAATGGAGAAATGTTTGGTGAGCCACACTTGCATTTCATGTCTGTTGAATCAAATGTACTAGTGCATGCGGGTCTGCATGTCCCAGGATTCCACGGCACCCTCCCGCCGTGCCCCAGATGCCGGCAGGTATGGCACTGTGGGACGTGGCTGTGTGGTTGCCCCTCAGATCACTTGACTTCCAACGGGCACCTGAGTGAGCAGGAGGCACGGAAGAAGTTCTGGCAGATTCTGTCGGCCGTGGAATACTGCCACAACCATCACATTGTGCACCGCGACCTCAAGACGGAGAACCTGCTACTGGACGGCAACATGGATATCAAGCTGGCAGGCAAGGAGGCCCCCACCCTGGGGCACTCGCCCAGGAGGCACTGAGGGATGAGGGGGCACCGCTGGCCAGATCTCATGCATTCGGGGCACACACTCTTGCAGCTTCCAGTCTAACTCTATCTGCCTGTTTCTTTGCCTCTCAGACTTTGGATTTGGGAATTTCTACAAGTCAGGAGAGCCTCTCTCTACGTGGTGCGGGAGCCCTCCGTATGCAGCCCCGGAAGTCTTTGAGGGGAAGGAGTACGAAGGCCCCCAGCTGGACATCTGGGTAGGAGCCATGTGCGCGCAGACCCTGTGCTAAGGCTGTGGTGGCTGTGGGTGCTGGTGCTGATGCGTAGCCTGTGGTCCTCAACAGAGCCTCGGCGTGGTGCTGTATGTCCTTGTCTGCGGTTCTCTCCCTTTTGACGGGCCCAACCTGCCGACGCTGCGACAGCGGGTGCTGGAGGGCCGGTTCCGCATACCCTTCTTCATGTCTCAGGGTAGGTGGACATGCTCTCCTTTCGGGTAGGCTCTAGTGCCCGCCAGCTACAGGAACTGGGGGCAGGGCAGAGGCTGGGCCTCTGTGATGCCTGTGAGGCTGTCTTCTGAGGCCACTGGGGGGCTGGGAGACAGGCCCAGGTTACTGTAAGCCAGGGAAACCCGACCCATGGATGCTTTCAGTGCCCTACTTCTAGGGTGGCCAGGTGCCCTCCCTCTGCAGGTTGGTGTCTCATCTCTGTGGTCCCTGCCCAACACCAGTACCCAGGCCGCTGGCCTCATCCCTGAGTCTGATACCCTGGCCGCTGCTCACAGCATCTTTCTGTTTCATAAAGATGTTTGACCATGGCCCACTCGTGTGTGACGCTGCGGAACGGGAGAGACTAAGGGTTCTCTGTGTGGGGGACATTTAGAAAACCAAAGCATGTCCCCCAGGAGCCCGAACCCTGGTGGACAGCTCTCCTGGGTGGCAGGTCCCAGCTGAAGGCACAGGTGTTCTTTAGGGGAGGTCCCTGTGCACTTGCCCGCGTGGGGTGGTGGGTGGAATGTACAGTCCCGGTCCCCCGCTCAGTCTCCCGGCCCCTCTGCAGACTGTGAGAACCTGATCCGCCGCATGCTGGTGGTGGACCCTGCCAAGCGCATCTCCATCGCACAGATCCGGCAGCACCGGTGGATGCGGGCCGACCCTGTCCTGCTGGGGCAGGCCTACCCCACCCTCTCTGCACACAGCTACAACTCCAACCTGGGCGACTATGATGAGCAGGTGCTGGGCATCATGCAGAGCCTGGGTATTGACAGGCAGAGGACCGTGGAGGTGAGCCTTGCCCTGCCCTGCACATATTGGCAGCCTCGCACATGGTCAGGGAACAGGGTGGCTCTCGAGAAAAGCAAGTGCTCATCAGCTGAGTTCACATGGGAGCGCAGGCTATTTAAGGGCCAACATGTCCACTCCTCCAAAGGATATTCTTGGCCACCCAAGAATAACCTGGGGATGGTCTCACAGGGAGAGGGCCATGCTGGGCTGCCCTCACACTGACCCCTGCTTCTCTCTGCCCAGTCATTGCAGAACAGCAGCTACAACCACTTTGCCGCCATCTATTACCTCCTTCTGGAGCGGGTCAGGGAGTACCGCAGTGCCCAGTGCGCCCGCCCTGGGCCAGCCCGGCATCCCAGGCCCCGGAGCTCAGACCTCAGCAGTTTTGAGGTGAGGGGGAGGAATCTCTTCCTAGAGCCTATTTCCATCCCCAAGCCTTGGGTTGTGTCCTGGAAGTTGTGACTCCCTGGCTTAGACATGCCTGAGAGCAAGGAGCAGACTGAGCCCCTGGCCCGTGGGGCACCCTTCCCCCTGTTAGGCAGCAACTTCCCTGTGTGGATGGTGGGGGACCCAGTGGGCAAGGAAGTGCAGGGGCCGGGCCCCACCCAGCGGCCACTTGTTCCTGCCCATCCCTGGTACTAGCATCTCACACCTCCTCCTGTCAGCTAGGTGCAGGTACATGGCCTGGAGGGGTGGCTACAGGGGCCGGAGCCCAGCCTGGCCAGCATCTGTCAGCACTGTTCCCAAAGCCAGCATGGTTTTTGTCTCCTGACATGGGCAGTCATCACCGGAACTGCTCCCCTGACTATGTCCTTCCTGTCTGCCGCCCTTAGGTGCCTCAGGAAGGCTTTCCCTCTGACACTTTTCGGTCCACCCTGCTGTGCCCGCAGCCCCAGGCCTTGGCGCAGTCTGTGCTGCAGGCTGAGATGGACTGCGAGCTCCACAGCTCACTCCAGGTGTGTAGGTGCCTACACAGGCTCAGGGAGGGCCTGCCTCGTTCCTGGTCGGGAGGCTCAGGGCGGGCCCACCACATCCCTGGTGGTGGTCTTCCTGGCGGTGGTGCCCCTGGCGCCTGGCTCACAGAGCCCCAGGAAGTCACTGGTTTGTCTCCCTCCGGTGCAGCCCTTGTTCTTCCCGGTGGATGCCAACTGCAACGGAGTATTCCGGCACCGCCCCGTCTCCCCCAGCAGTCTGCTGGACACAGCCATCAGCGAGGAGGCCAGGCAGGGGCAGGGCCTGGAGGAGGAGCAGGAGGCCCAGCAGCCCCTGCCCAGCAGCACAGGCCGAAGGCACACCCTGGCTGAGGTCTCTGCCCACTTCTCCCCACTCACGCCTCCGTGTAAGTGCTGCAAGGGCCCAGGAGGATGCCTGCTGGATAGGCATGTGACTTAAGGCTGCGGTGGGCTAATTAGACTGGGTGTTTATTGCCTGGCAGCCTCCTCTGGTTGGAGTTGTTGGGATTTGTCCTTGTTTTAATCCCTGAGACCAAGGATTGCTCTTAAACCCTGCCCTGTGTGTAGTCATTTTGATCTAGGAGACAGTGTGGGGTTTGGCCTACAGCAGACTCCACCTGGGCTGCCCCCAGATCCTTGGCCCCAGGCCACTCTGCATCTGGGGCCTGAGGTTCCCTGTAGTTGCCCCCCAGGGAGCTTTGCAACTTTCCTTTGGTGCTCTCTGGGCTTGAGGGGCCTCGAGCTGTCAGTAGACACCCATTTCCCACCATGGTTGAGGGCAAGGACAGGGAGGCCAGGGCAACTGGATGTTGGAGGCTCTGGAGGCACCGTGGCCAGTCCCTCTGCACCCAGCAGTCAAGAGTGCCATACTGTTCTGCAGGTATCATCGTCTCCCCCTCCGCTGCAGTGAGTCCTGCAGAGGGAACCAGCTCTGACAGCTGTCTGCCCTTCTCTGCAAGCGAGGGACCTACAGGACTTGGCAGTGGCCTGGCCATGCAGGGGCTGCTGGGTACCTGTTCCCCAGTCAGACTAGCTTCACCATTCCTGGGCTCGCAATCTGCCACCCCAGTGCTGCAGGCTCAGGGGGGCCTGGGAGGAGCCGTCCTGCTCCCCGTCAGTTTCCAGGAGGGACGGAGGGCATCAGACACCTCACTGACACAAGGTGAGCCATGCTCCTTCCTCCACATCCACTTCCACCCTCCCCAGGGGACACATACCTAGTAGCACATGACTTTGTCCTTGGTGGCGAATGGCACCCCCTATTCTCTTCTGGGCCTGGATGGACCAGGAAGTCCTACCCCAGCTCTGGGTGTCCTGGTATGTGGGGATGGATCCAAACAGAGACTGAGCAAACAGCCCCCATTGGCTGGTTCTAAAGTCCTGGAGATGTGTTTGTGCTGAGCAGCACCCCTGCCTTAGAGGAAGGATGGGATCAGGGAAGGCTCCCTGGGTTTGGGCGCCAGACTTCTCCCACCACATGTGCATCACTCATCTTTTCTTTGCCTCCCACAAAAGCTTGGAAACCCCCGCAAGCTAAGGGCTGTGGGTCTAGAGCTAGGAGGTAGGAGGCCACTGACCATCCTCTTTGACTGTCCACAGGGCTGAAGGCCTTCCGGCAGCAGCTGAGGAAGACCACACGGACCAAAGGGTTTCTGGGGCTGAACAAAATCAAGGGGCTAGCTCGCCAGGTGTGTCAGCCCCCCTCTAGTCGGGCTTCTAGGGGCGGCCTGAGCCCCTTCCATGCCCCCGCACAGAGCCCAGGCCCACACAGCAGTGCCAGCAGCCGAGAGAGCCGGAGCCTGCTAGAAGAGGTGCTGCAGCAGCAGAGGTATGGCCCGGGCCTGCCGTGGTGTTCCTGGGGTATGCACACGTTGGGATGTCCCCTGAAATCTCTTAAGTGTCCCTGCCTCCTCTATGTAACCCGAGGGCACGTCCCCACCCGCTAGTCTAGAGTGACGTGGAGGTACAGCAGCTGGCTTGCCATGGAAGCCTAGTTGGTGCAGGGCAGTGGGGTGGTGAGTGCAGGGTGGCAGGGGGCTGTGTGCTGTTTGCTTGGCATCTGAGTTACCAAGAAGCCAGGTGGAGCAGGAGAGGTCAGGTGTTATCAGGGATGAGTCAGGCACCTGTGGGCTCTCCCTCAGCTGGCAGTTCCCCAGGGCGGGCAGGCCCTGAGACTTGGGTACCCTGGAAATCCGATAGCATCCAGGAGGCCAGAACCACAGAGCCAGCGAGTGACTGTCCTGCGCTTTGTCCTCACAGGCTGCTCCAGTTACAGCACCACTCACCCAGCTGCCAGCAGAGCCCCCAGCCAGCCCTGGCCCCCTATGTGCTCACCCCCTGCAATGACTCCGGGGCCACCCCGCTCCCCAGAGCCCTCCTTGTATCAGGGCTCCCGCTGCTGCCATGCCCTCTCCTCCAGGCTGGTGTCTCCCCTGTGTCCTCGGCGGCTCGGCTCCTGGATGCCCACCTGCACATTGGCACCGGCCCTGCAACCCTGCCCTCTTTGTCCCCGCCGCGGCTGGCCATGCTGGCCCCAAGCTGTGACCCTCCCGGGCTGCCACAGGGGGACTGTGAGATGGAGGACCTGACCTCGTGTGCACTGGGGACGTTCGTCCTGGTGCAGTGAGGCCCCGGGCCCCATCCTTGCGGCCACGGACTCTTCCAAGCAATAACTTAAGCGTATGCGAAGATGTTTTTGGACTTAAAGCCAAGAACTTTCTAGAAGTGAAACAAGCAATACGTTAGGTGTTTTGGCTTTTTAGTTTATTTTTGTTTTATTTTTTCTTGCACTGAGTGACCTCAACTATGAATAGGGACTGGAAACTTTCTAAAGAAAAATAATAATCGAAGGGCGTGTCATGTGGGCGGGTGGTAGGGAGGGCAGGGAAATGGAGGGAAGGTGTCTGGCCGGCCAGGGTGGAGGGGACTTTAGTTCCCTCCATGGCTTTGTCACAGTTGAGACAGTGACCTCAGACATCCATGGCAGTAAGTGGACGAGTCTGCGTGTATGTGCACGTGTTGATTACTATCCATTTTTTAAGTTAACAGTTCTCTACTTCCCAAAACATTTATGCTTTAACAAAAACTGTGAACTTTCTGCTTTAGGTATCAGTTTTAAAACAGCTCTAAAGGGTCAGCCCAGGCAAAGATAACCTACAGACTCCTAGAACTGGCTCCCCTGAAACCAGAGCCTGGAGGATGGTTTTTCCTATTTTAGCTGAGAAGGTTTATCACCTCCTCAAGAGTCAGTTTTCCAGGATTCTTCAGAGGAACCCCAGGAAGAACCTAAAAGGGGCTAAGGGTGACTTTGAGCTGGTGGGGGCTCTCTCTGAGGGCCACTCAGCCCAGAGCATCCCCGGACACCTTCCAAAAGTTTCTTCCTGCTGCACATCTTATTTCCGCTGCTAATTAAGTGTTTGTGCATTTCATGATCAGGGTCCAGCAAGAACACCTGACTTGGGTGAAATTGTGCAATATCAGGAGGCTGACTGTAGGGCAAGATGGGTGGGAGATGGGCTCGCTGGGCAGGGCTGCTCCTGCCACTGGCAGAATCCTCCTGGTAGAACAGCCCGAGTCCCAGGCCTGGGCTCCTGTTGGGCTTTAATTCAAGGAAGATGAAATGAGAGGTTTAGGTCAGTGTTTTTATAGCTTTGTTTCTTTTTTAAGCAAATACTGTATATGTATATAAACAGGAGACGAATACACACTACTTATTTTTTATATTTTGTACTACACCTTTGTGTTCCTGGTTTAAGCTTCTCTCTTCGGTCATGTCACCGAAGCATCCCTTCTGTACCAGGTAGGTGCATGTAGAGGAGAGGGCCACAGGGCCTTCCCTTCTGCAGTAGGGTAGAGGTGGCAGGAAGGGTGGCCCTCGCCTGTCAGGTCAGGCTCACCCCTGGTGGTCAGACTCAGTGGTGGCTCCATCAGCCAGAAGCAAAGGAAACTGCCGCTCCCCACCTGCCCTGTGTCCAGTCCCCACCCTGCTACCCAGCCCAGGTGCCTTTAGCTAACTTCAGCGTCTTACAACCTGCAGTATTCAACAGAGGTCATGAAGAAAGGGGGAAAGGTGGGTATTTTAAGAAGCCAAAGATTGACCAGTTCTCTGAGGGCAGGAGGCCAGGCCAGCACAGAGGTTGCGTCTGTTCCCGTGCTGCCAGTGCCCGGCCAGGCAGACCGCAACTGCCCCTGCACCGTCTGCAAGCTTGCTGCTCCCCTTCCTGCTGCTGCTGCTGCTGCTGCTCTGTGGCTGTTTCAGAGATGGGCAAAGGGCTCTCTGGGGAGACCTGGTGCCTTGCTGCAGAGAAAACACCAAAGTCTCCTGCTCACGCGTCAGGAAGTTTTGTACCGGGAGGGAGAATCCAGACCATCTTGGGGCAGCTGGGCCCTTTGCCTTCACTTTTACAGAGGTAGCACAACTGATTGCAACACAAACCCTCTCCCCTTTTTGAAATGATTTCTGTTCTAATGCCATAGATCAAAGGCCTCAGAAACCATGTGTGTTTCCTCTCTGAAGCAATGACAAGCACTTTACTTTCACGGTGGTTTTTGTTTTTTCTTATTGCTGTGGAACCTCTTCTGGAGGACCATAAAGTTGTATTTTTGTTTCTTGTTTTGTTTTAAGAGTGTGATGTGTGTTTTGTAGATTTCTTGACTGTGCTGTTCTACAGACTGCAACACAATAGCCTATTTAAAGACACTACGTGATCTGATTGAGGTGTACATAGTTTGTTTTTGTTTTTTTTACCATAACTGAATTATTTTATTTCTTATGTTAACATGAGAAATGTATGCCAAATGATTAGTTGACGTATGTTTTTTAATTTAATATTTAAATAAAATATCTGGGGGGAAATCATTGACTTTTCCCCTTCCTTGGCTCACGTCTCTGGGAGCTCTTTCCTTCTGAGCTGTGTCATAAAGAGGCCACATCCTCCAGGTCTGAAAGTTTAGATCTTAAAGAAGAGGCATGGTGTCAACTCTAACGTTCCGCCTCCCCCCAGAGAGCTACTGGCATCCCAGCTGCAGTTGGACCCCTCCCCCAGCACAGAAGCTGGGGGCCTGGGGCCTGCTTGCTCTTCAGGCCTCCTTCCCAGCAGCCGACACCTGGGTCTGTCTGCAGCTGGTTCTTCCCTCCCGGGGCTCCTGGCCCCATTTGTTCTTACCCTTCACCCACGGCCTTCTCTGAATCTGGTGATAAATCAAGCATTTGGTGGGATCTTACAGCCAGATCATGTCCCAGCCTCTGAGCCTGCACCACCTTCCACCAATAGGGCAGGTATCACTGCTTGCAAGAACAAAGGGTTCTGTTCATTTTGGGACCTGGCAAATATTTTTGGTTTAAAAAAAAGGTTCTGCTGGGCATGGTGGCTCATGCCTGTAATCCCAGCACTTTGAGAGGTGGAGATGAGAAGATTGCCTGAGCCCAGAGGTTTGAGACTGGCCTGAATAAGTTAGTGGGACCTCCTCTCTACAATAAATAATAATAATAATAATAAAAAGCAGCCAGTTGTGCTACCGTTTTACATACCTGTAGTTCCAGCTACTCAGAAGGCTGTGGTGGAAGGATGACCTGAGTCCAGCAGATCGAGGCCATGGTATCAGTGATTGTGCCCCTGCACTCCAGCCTTGGCAACAGAATGACCTCCAACTCAAAAAAAAAAAAAAAAAAAAGCTCTTCACACCCGTTAAGGTGGTCATTGTTAAACCAGAACCCTTGTGCCCTGTTGGCGGAAATGTCAGATGGCACAGTCTTTGTGGGGAACAGGCAGAATTACCACATGCTCCAGCAATTCCTCCTGATTGCATATGCCCCAAAGAATGGAAAGCAGGGTCTGGAAGAGATATTTGTACCCTGTGTTCACAGTAGCATTGTTCACCATAGCTAGAATTAGGAAGCGGCCCAAGTAGCCATCCTGGATGAATAGATAAGGAAAATGTGGTCTACCATACAATAAAATATTGTTCAGCTTTCCAGGGAAGGAAATCCTGACACATGCTACAGCATGGATGAACTTTGAGGACATTATGCTGGGTGGAACAAGCCAGTCACTGAAGGACAAATACTTTATGATTCCACTCACATGAGGTCTCTGGAGGCATCAAATCCTTAGAGACGCAGTGGGGGGAGATGTGGGTGCTGGGGAGGTGCATGGGGAGTCAGTATTTAATGGGGACAGAGTTTCAGTTTGGGAAGATGGAACGTTCTAAAGATGGGTGGTGGTGATGAATCTGTAACTGTGAATATGCTAAGTGCCGTTGAACTGCACACCTAAGAACAGTTAAAATGTTGAGTTTATGTTATGTGCATTTTACCATAATAAAAAAGAGAGAAACCAAAGTATTTTCAAGGAGGAAGATGGTCAGGGAGTGGAGAGCAGCTTCTGTGGGAGAGTAGGCAGGAACCATGGCAGCAGGACAGGAAGGCCACTATGAATGACAAGGTCTGCTGGGCATGCCGTGATGACTCGATATGTGGCCAGGGTCAGCCCTGCTGTCATGTGGGGGGGACTGCTAGCATGGAGAGGCCTGGCCCTCAGGATGCCTGGCTGCGACCTTCTGCATGGAAGGTTCCTTGTTTCCCAAGGACTCTTAGCAGTTTTCACTCCTTGGAGAACAGAACCCTGACATCTAGGGTTGCTGGCCCTGGTGACACCGACTTGGTGAGCATGAAGCCATTCACAGGGAGGCCCAGCACACCAAGAGGAAGCCCCTGCTCAGGCCTCACCTGTGCGGAGAGCCTGACCAGGGAGCTGGGGCAAGGAGCTGCTCTGGACAGCCTTGTCACCAGCTCCAGGAAGGGCCCAGTTCAGTCAGATCTGTGGCTCTGCTGAACCAGAAGGTGATTGGGGGTGGGTGTGCTCCGGGATCTGTGTTTATTGTTTGGGAACGTGGAGTCTTGGAAACCAGGAAGCGCTTAAGCAAAACCACGTGTCTGAACCTCTCCACTGCTTGGTTTCGTGTTGTGACACGCTGACTCTCAACTTGACAGGCCTGCATTATGGTTTCTTCATGCCACAGCCCGTTCCTTGCAGGGATGACTGTGTCTTCTCTGCCCTGGCGGCACTGAGAGCAATCTCGGCAGGTGGGGGCTCCTAGCTGACAGTGTCAGCTAAGTGACCCCCATGCTTCCCTGGCTCTATTGGTTCTTCCAGAGCTGCTGATGATGAAGGTGGTGGTAGAAGGCCTCTTGGAATTCTCAGGTTGGAGGCTGGAGCCTGCCTGGGGAGCCACCAGGGAGCTTGTAGGACCCCAGAATTCTGCCTGGGCATGTTGATCTGTTCATGAGTTGATCTGGTCCTTCCACTTAAGGATTGTCCCTTGCCTGAGGGTCCCTTGTCCCCTGCTTGGCACCCCCGCCCAGGGATGGCACTTTGCCCGGCACCACCTACCCAGGGCATTTTGCAGGATGTTCACACTGTGGACTTGTTCAAGCCTGCTGGAGCTTGGCCTGGCTGAGCTGCGCTCTGATGCACCCCTCAGTGCACAGGGGCACTTCTGAGCCATCAGTGGGGTGTTCTGTGGGTTCTGAGATTTTTTTCTTCCTCCTGATCCATCTGGCGAGGGGCCAGGCACAGTCTGGAGCATCGACCATATAGACTCAATGACTGCCATGTCCTTACTAAC